TGATGGCATTGAGCTCCTCTATCCTGCTTCTGAAATGGTTCATTTAAAACCCAATAGGATGGGAACATTGACGAATTCCCTCCTTAGATTTCTAAGTGTTTACAGTTACAATCCTTCTAACAGTCACTCATGAGTAAATAAAATAATCCACCAGCATCTCCCCACACCTTCTCTTACCCATACTTATCAGGAAAAAGTAGTTTAGTTTACAAAGAGTATGGCTAGAAGCGACAATAAATAATTCACTACACTGCAAAGTGAAATCAGGGTTATCAGTAGTGATGTCAGATTTTGACTGAAATCAACAAATACCAGAAAGCTGTTTGTTGCTACAAGATGCTGTTGAGATAGTTCTGACTCATAGACCCTATGTACAACAGAACAAAACACTGCTGGGTCCAGCACCATCCTCAAAATCATTGTCATGTTTGAGTTCATTGTAAACACTGTATTAATCCATTTCCCTGAGAGTCCGCCTCATTTTCTCTACTTTATCAACCATGATGACCTCCTCCAAGGAAAGATGTTATTGACTATACAAGGGCATTCAACTCTGTGGATCACAGCAAATGATGGATAACATTGTGAAAAATGAGAATTCCAGAATGTTTTTGTTCATGAGAAACCTGCACATAGACCGGTTTAAAATAAGGAAAGATATGCATCAAGGTTGTATTTTTTCATCATATTGATCCAATTTACATGATGAGCAAATAATCTGAGAAACAGAATTATATGACGAACACAGTATCAAGATTAGAGGAAGGCTCATTAACAATCTGTGATATGCAGATGATAAAGCATTGCTTGCTGAAAGCAAAGAAAACTTGAAGCACTTACTAATGAAGATCAAAGATTATATATAGCCTCCAGTATGGACTATACCTCAAACTACAGAAAATGAAAATCTTCACAACAGGACCAATAAGCAAAATTATGACAAATAGGGGGAAAGTTTGAAGTTCTCAAGGATTTAATTTTACTTGGATCCATAATCAATATCCATGGACACAGCAGTCAAGAAATCAAACACTGTATTGTATTGGGCAAATCTGCTGCAGAGACCTCTTTAAAATATTGAAGAGCATCAAACGAAGATGGAAAGAATGCACATGGTTGATGTTCAACTCTTTCAAGAGGTAGCATATGATCAAGGGCCAATGACATACATAAGACAATAGGTGGAATCCTGAACCCTATCCAGAACCTTCTAAGGTGGGAAATCTCCACTTGAAAGGACAAGCAGACCAGCCTGGAGCAGCTAGAACAGAAGATACTTCTTGAAAGAAAAACTGACAGGAAAAATAAAAACAATAATGGCAGTCCGACTGACTACTACAAGAACAAGCAAGTTGCTTGCCGAGGAGACGTCAAGTCAAGTGGTTGGTTCCCCTCAGGGCAAACCCTCTTCCAAGACTAAGACTCAAGGGGAATACACAAACAGGCATGTGGTCTGACTGGAGACCATGTTCATCACGATAAGGGGAAATGAGGGAAAAACGGCAATGAAGCTGTGAGCTAAGTCTGACCACGTTCAATAGACTTCTGTGAACCCTGGTGGAGACCTGGTTGGCCAACAGTATGGCCAGACCTGGAGACTCCTGGGCCCAGAGACAGTGACATAGTCACAGAGGACTAGAGTGGAGAGTGAAGCATTCAGCTGATAAGAAGTGAGGAGAGATACACAAGAACACCCACACTTGCAGATAATACCCACTTGACCTGGCTTCAATGGCTAGATGATTATAACTCGAGTAGAAGAAAAAAGAAGAGGGTAAAAAACAGTAATTTGATATAATTTGATGAACTTGACCTACACCTATGGATACAGTAGCTCAAAAGAGGAAACACGTCTTTACAGCAAGGATCATTCCCATCCCCTTGGTACACAGAGTAGACAGGGATGGGAAAGTTGGACACTGGCTACCCAAAATGAAGGGGCGGGGCTACAAAGGCTTACAAGATTTCAAGAGGGACCCTAGATCCAGAGGGCGTAGAGGAAGGTAGAATCTCCACTGAGTAGTATCCAATCTGACTGGGCAGGGCTGATGAAAGAAGATGGGCATAGGACTCTTATGGTTCAATAGTAAATAATTGCTATTAGGACTGACTGTGAGGGTTGGAAATGTAAAAGTAGATGTTTTGTAGCAAAAGGAGGGCAGTGGTTGACTTTGCAGTCCAGGAGTGGAGGTCCCTGGACCATCAAGTGAGAAGATCAGAGAGTGTGACCCTACCCAGATAGGCAGTGATGCCAGGGATGGAGACAGAGATGATGACGTGGAGAGATGGAGTGGCTGGGGATTCTAGACCTAAAGAGGGAGAGGGGTTGTGTGCTGACGACCAAGGGGCAAGCTTGCAGGGTATGCTTGCAGGGTATACCCTTTGGTTGGTTGATGATGCATGGAGGGGATTGTAATCATGGCAATGAAATGATATATGATAGGATGAATGTAAAGCTAATATTCTCCCATGTAAACTATCACATAATTCACAATAAAAACTTAAAAAAAAAAAAGAGTCAATGATACAGAAGGAAGAAGTTCAAGGTGTATTGAAGAACAAGCCACTGGGAATTGATGGAATATAAATTGAAATCTTTCAAGAAAGTGAGTTGGCACTAGAGGCACTCAGTCATCTATACCAAGAAATTTGGAAGACAACTACATGGCCAACTGATTAGCAGAGATCTGTATTTGTGCCCATTCCAAAGAGAGGTGACCCAATGGAATGCGGAAATCATCGGGCAATATCTTTCATATCCCTTTACTTTACTCGCATGGGAGTACTAAAAGTAATACAGGAAAGTTTTACTAAAGGTAATACAGGAACAGCTGCAACCATACATTGACAGAGAACTTCCAGAGGTTCGAGCCAGATTCAGAAGAGGACATGGAATGAGTGATATAATTGCTGATGTCCGATGGATCTTGGCTAAAAGCAGAGAATATCAGAAAGATGTTGACCTGTGTTTTATTGACTATGTGAAGGCTTTCAACTGTGTGGACCATGACAAGCTATGGACAACATTGTGAAGCATGAGTATTCTGGAACACTTAATTGTGCCATGAAGAATCTGTACCTGGACCAAGAGGCAGTTGTTTGAACAGAACATGGGAACACTGAATGGTTTAAAATTAGGAAAGGTATCCTAGAGGGTTGTATTCTTTCACCACACTTATTCAACCTGTATACTGAGCAAATAATCCAAGAAACTGGGTTCTATGAAGAAATACATGGCATCAGGATTGTAGGAAGACTCTTTAGCAACCTGCGACATGCAGATGATACAACCTTGCTGAAAGTGAAGAGGACTTAAAACATTTACTGATGAAGATCAAAGAGCACAACCTTCGGTATGGATTGCATCTCAATGTAAAGAAAAGAAAAATCCTCACCACTGGACCAATAAACAATATTCTTATCGATGGAGAAAAGAGTGAAGTTGTCAAAGACTTTATTTTTCTTGATTCAATCATCAACACTCATGGAAACAGCAGTCAAGAAATCAAATTTGCATTGGGCAAATCTGCTGCACAAGACTTTTTTAAAAAGTGTTAAAGAGCAAAGATGTCAGCTTGAGGACAAAGGTATGCCTGACCCAAACCATGGTATTTTCAATAACCTCATATGCATGTGAAAGTTGGACATTGAATAAGGAAGATCATAGAAGAATTGATGCTTTTGAGTTATGGTGTTGGAGGAGAATGTTGAAAATACCATGGGCTGCCAAAAGAACCAACAGATCTGTGTTGGAAGAAGTGTAGCCAGAGTGCTCCTTGGAGGTCAGGATGGCCAAACTTCATCTCTCATGCTTGGGACATATTGTCAGGAGGGACCAGTTACTGGACAGGGATATCATGTTTGGTAAGGTGCAGGGTCAGAGAAAAACAGGAAGACCCCCAGTGAGATGGACTGGCAAAGTGGCAGCATCAATCAGCTCAAGTGTGGCAACAATTGTGAAGTTGGCCCAGGACCTGGCAGTGTTTCGTTTTGTTGTGAATAGGGTCGCTATACATCAGAACCGACTCCATAGCATCTAACAACAGCAACAAAAGAAGAATTGATGACTTTCAATTATGGTGTTGGTGAAGAATATTGAATATACCATTGACTGCCAGAAGAACACAAAATAACTTTCTGGGCAGAAATGCAACCAGAGTGCTCCATAGAAGGGAGGATGGCCAGACTTCTCATCTACTTTGGATATCCTATTCTCAGGACCAGTTCCTGGAAAAGGAAGGACAGAGTGCTTGGTAACATAAAGGCTCAGCGAGAAAGAGGATGAGCCTCAAGAGCAACATATCAATGTTTGGGGGTATGGCCCAGGACTTGCACTTTCATTCTATTGTGCATAGGGTCGCTATTAGATAGCATTAGATGGCAGGTAACTACACAAAAGGTCAGATGACTTCCTGGCGCCAGGTTAGAGGCTGCTCCTCTTGCCCCTACTCCTGAGGCCAGAGGAGCAGCAGGTGCGGCCAGATTTCTGCCCGCGCGTCCTCTGCTGGGCGGTCGCAGAGCCTGCAGCCCTGGAATGAGAGCGTTGGACTGAGTGAGCGTTTCCCAAGTGCTGCCCAGCCCACCTGCCCATTTATTTGTAGCGGGTCCGGCGTGGGGACGTGCGGAGTGGCGGCCTGGGTCCCACTTTTGGGCGGGGTATGGGCTGGGAGGGAGACACACAGCGCTTGCTCTAGGTTATTTTTAGTCGGTAGCTGAGCTGCCCCCTCCGAGGCGGAGAGGCCAGAAAAGGTGGGGAGGAGAGGGAGCTCCCGGAGCCTCGGCGCTCGCTCCCGCGGGGACTCTCGGCGCGGCCCGGCCCAGGCAGCGCAGGGAACAGCTGCGGCGGCGTCTCCAGCAGTGCGCGCGGCTCTCCTCTGGGACCTGCGCCGGGCGGGGGAGGGGAGGCCAAGGGAGGGGAGAGCGAGCGAGCGAGCGAGCGAGCGAGCCGGCGGGAAGGGGCGGGGAGCGCGCGCCTGCGGTGGCGGCGGCGGCAGCGGCGGCGGCGACAGTAGTCCTCATCCCGGTGGCCCAGCTCTTGAGCGGACGCGGGGCTTTGCAAATGGCTTGTCCCGCCCTTGGTCTAGAAGCTCTTCAGCCCCTGCAGCCCGAGCCCCCACCAGAACCAGCCTTCTTCGAGGCGCAGAAGTGGATCGAGGTAGGTGACTGCGGTTTGCTGGCGGCCTATTCGGGGCGCCCCGACCTAGAGACCCGCTCACTGTGGGATTGCAGGTCCAGTCGCGTCTCCCCCAGTTTCCTTTGCCAGTTGCTCCAGGTCACCCGTCAGGGCCTCGGGCAAGATGCGATCTCCTGGTCTTTTGGCCCAGGCGAGGGTGGGCGTGATTGGGGGGCATTGCAGTCAAGTTGTAAGCGTGAGGAGACTGGAAGCGGTCCCTTGTTATTCCATCTCTCCAACCTGGCCGCGGTGCAAATCTCAGTTCCTGCGGCTTCCAGGCGCTGCAGGAGGAAGCGCAGTGCGAACTGAAGCGCCGCAAAGACCGCTGGAGGCTGAATCCCCAGAGTACTTGCCTGGGTTGCATTTTGTGGTACCCTCTGGGCCCCACATTGCACCTCTTGGCCCCCTTCCCTACCCCTCAGGAACAGAGTTGGCAGAGTCTCCACCGGAGCCTCTTGCTGGATTCTTGGCAAAAATCAGGTGTAAGCCTGGCACAGCGCACAGGGCCGGGGAAGCTTGGGAGACCCACCTGCAAACGCGCCAAGCTCATAGACGCTACTCAGCCGTTGGCAGTCCTGCCTCCGTCCCAGAGGCGGCGGAGTGGGCTCCGTGGTACCCGGTCCCGGTGGCGTATTACACTTCTTAAATGACTCGTTGGCAGTTCAGGGAAATCACTGGAGCTCTCGGCTCAGTCCAGGAAGCTCTGGCTGGGTGATCCAGATTCTCGATGCCTATCTGTAGATGTAGGCTTGCTGGCCCTGCGCTCCTGAAATGACGTATCTGTGAGGTTCAGAACGCTTGGAGGGCTTGAGGACGAAAGGTGACCCTCCGTTACCATGCAAGGAGCCCCTGCCTCTCTGGGTAGCCTTTCTAGAGTCTCAGCAGAAGGTGAATTTGACCTTTTCTGCCGGTGACAGGCAGCCCTTCTCTTTTGTGAGTTCAAAGGAGGAAGTGAATGGCTAAGTCATGACCAAGTGTTATCCCTCCGTGGCACCGCAGATCTCAGCGAGGATGCTACAGATTTAAACCTACGGAGCTCTGGGAAATCGCCCCAATCCTGCGGCCAGAGGCCTGCACCCTACAGGATTAACCTGCTCCCTGCAAGCAAGAGTGTTATCCATAACTGTGTTGTTGTTAAGTGCTATCAAGTATGTTCTGACTTGTGGGGACCCTGTATAGGGTTTCCGAGGCGTGGCTGGTGGATTTGAACTGTCGACTTTGTGAGAGAAACAACTATTTAAAAACAGGATTAAAGAATCACAAGACTTTATTGCGAAAAGCCCCAAGCCTGTCTCTCATAATTTGATATCTCGTGGCCAGATGAGAAAAAAAAAGGTTGTGCTCTTTATTTTTGATATGTGGCTGGCAAGGTTTGGGGTGTGACAGGTGCTTGCTGTCTCTGCATTCTTGGGCTCACAGGGTACACCCTGGCATTTGTGGTTACTGGCTTAGTGAAGAAGAGTTGGATAACAGTGTTTTTCAGATTTTAGAACTTAATTTTCAGGTGGAGATTTTGGAGGTAAGTGGGTAGAAAGGGAGACTATAGTTAACGGGAGAGCAAGCTTAATATTCTTGATGACAAGTGATTTATTTCCAGTGTCTTTAACATAACATTCACACAGTTTGCTTTAAAAAAACACTTTTTTTGATGTTCCATGCCACAACGTGCACAAATCTTAAGTGTATACCTCCATGAATTGGAATTGTTGTTGTTGTTAAGTGCTGTCGAATTGATTCTGACTCATAGTGACCCTGTATAGGGTCTCCGAGGAGCAGCCAGTGAGCTAGAACCACCGACCTTGTTGGTCAAACTGACTTTGCAGTCCAGCGCCTGAGGCCACAGTGCCACACCAGGACTCCATGTATTTTATTATAGCCCCTACCCATATCAAGATAGAAAACATTTCCTAAGAAAGTAGTGTCCCATTAGGCCCTATAGTCAGTTGGACATTTAGGCATTATTCTTGCTACTTTACCATTTCTACCAATTAGAAACTGTGCCAAACAGAATGGGGCATCTGGCTTAAGGGCTAGGCAGCCTTGTCGTGAGTCGAGTGCATTATTAAAGCGCCTATCACTTTTCAAATGTGGAGTTCAGTTTCAGGAAAGGAGAGCTTTCCCTCCCAGGCTATATAAAAAGATACTCACTCCAGGGAAAAATAAAGACTGCTCCCCCTCAGCCCCAGCCCCCTTCTTTCCAGGAGGTTCCTCCTGAAATGTCAATAGCTTCTACAAACTTGGGAATCCCAGGAGCTGTAACAGATGGTTTTGTGCGCAGTTGCCCTGTGAACAAAGATTCCTTGGCTAATACAGCAATAAGGTAGTACTTAGTGTGAGCTGAATTCCCGTGGGGACTGTTATCTCGAGACAATTGCCTCTCCTTTAGGGGCTACATTATCTGGCGGTCACATCCTCATTGGTAGGTCTTTGTTTTCCACTTTTGTTTGGTTGGTGATTGAATTTCCCAAAGGCTTTTTTTTTTTTCTTTCTTCTTCTTTTGAGTAGTCAGGAATTTCACCCTTTCAGAAAAATGTTCCCTTGGGTGCAGCAGGTTAATAAACAAACTTTGCTGCTAGCCTCTCCTCTTCAGTCCTTAGTCGTCCTGGAGTCCTGAGTTGGTCAGAAAACGTTCATTCTTAATAAAGGCTCAAAGAACAAGCTCCGGGAGATAACTTGTTAGTGAGGAATGTCTCGGCCTGCAGCCTGGCTATTTGAGGACTGTGTTACTGGGCAGGAAATGTGGCCTGGGAACTGAGCTCCTACCCCACCCTACCCCAAACTTCTGCCATAGTTGGCAAAGGTAAACGCTTTGGTGTAGTTAGGCTTGATGTGGTCACCCACCTGTGGGAACAGATCCTGTTGATTGATAGCACTTTCAGTGACTTTTTATAGCTGTAGGAACAGGCTACATGTCTTAGCGTGGGTTGGGGAGACTCCTAAAGGACGTAGCAGAGTCTAAGGAACTATTAGCAGTAGGTTGGAGTCCTGGTGTGGCACCGTAAGATAAGCACTGGACCACAAGGTCGGTTTGAACCATTCAGGGTTGCTATGAGTCAGAACTGACTCTACGGCACTTAACAACAACAGCTATAGGATAAGCGCTTGATGGCTAACCACAAGGTCAGCGGTTTACACCCACCAGCCACTCCTCAGAAACCCATATGGTGTCCCTGTGAGTAGGAACTGACCTGATGACACTTAACAACAGTGATAGCAGGTACGGGGGCTCTGGTGGCTCTCTTGGATAAATACGGGACTGCTAACTGCAAGGTCAGCAGTTTAACCATACCAGCTGCTCTGTGGGATAAAGGTGACGCTTTCAGCTCCTGTAAAGATTTAAAGGTTTGAAAACACTATACAGGGTGGTTATGAGTCAGAATCAACCTGATGATGGTGAGTTTGGTTTTGGAGTTTTAGGGGGAGCACAATGGATGGCTAGCCAAAAGGTTGTTGCTTGGAACACACCAGCTGCTCCTTGAGAAAAACATGTGACAGTTTGCCTCCATAAAGATTTACAGCAGCCACGGAAACCCTTTGGAGCAGTTCTACTCTGTCTGTAGGGTTGCCGTAAGTTGGGATCTACCCCTAGGCTTCGGCTTCATTTTCCTTTTCCTTTTCCTTTTCTAGAAGAACTTCCTAATCAAGGTGCGAAGTATAAATCCAAAAAATCAAACCCGTTACCAGGGAGTTGATTCGGATTCATAGCGGCCCTATAGGCCAGTGCAGTGTTGTTGTTGCTGTTGAGTTGATTCTGACTCACAGCGATCCTACATATAGGATTTCCAAGAGCAGCTGGTGGGTTTGAACTGCCAACCTTGTATTTTCCAGTCCAGTGTAGGGTTTCCAAGGTTATAGCAGCAGATTGCCATATCTTTCTTCCATGGAGCAGCTGGTGGGTTTGAACCCCTGACCTTTTGATTTAACAGCTGAGTGATTTAACCAGGGGCTAAGTCAAAAAGTATTGCTACAAAATCATAGAAACCTTTTATTAAACCAAAATATCAAAATGTGAAGCTGTTGTTTCTCAACCTAGCCTTCATCTAGGTCTATACACGTTTTTTTTAAAAAAAACATTTCGTTGTGAATTGAGTGAAGGTTTACAGAGCAGATCATCAGTTTTACACTCAACAAATCATGTACTTCGTTTCATCTCAGTGTTTGTAGTTCCCTCCATGGGACATTACTTATCCCACTTTCTCTCTGTGTTTCTTGTTTCCATTCCTCCTTCTTTCCCCAGTCTTCTGAATTTTGCCCTTTTGCTTTAGAATGGCTGACCATTCTATGGTGTGCATACCTAACTAGTGTTGTGGTCCCCACTATCTGTCTATCTATTGCTTGGCTGAAAATTGAGCCTCAGGGGTGAGTTTAGATTTAGACCTCAAGAATAACCAAGAGCCATAGTCATGGGGTTCCACCAGTCTCTAATTGACCAGAAAGCCATTTTGAGTTTTGTTCCATATTTTCTCCCACTCTATCCAGGACCTTCTAATGTGATCCATTTCAGAGAAGTTGGTAATGGTAGTTTTTCTGGTCTCAGAGGCCTGGAGACTGACGCTCACATGGTCTATTAGTCAACTGAACTAGTTGTTGACAAGTATCATCAGTGTTCATCATCGTTTTTTCTCCACACAGAAAGATACCAATAGTTGCACCAGTAGATGACTACTTAGGAGCTTTTAAGGTCCCAGTTGCTACTCACCCAAGTAGGATGCAGAACATTGTCTTTGTACACTGTCATACCAATTGACCATGGTGTCCCCTGAGACTATGGTCCTGAGGCCCCAGCCTCAACAGATTCGATCTCAAGGTGTTTAGTAATGTCTAAGAAGTTTTTATAACTTTGTTTCCCTATTCTCCACCACATTCATGGATACGTTTGCAACAAAAGTAAAACCCATGTACTATATATATTTGTCCTGGTGTGGCGCTGTGGGCTAATGCATCAGACTGCAGAGTCGTTTGAACGGCAAGGTCAGTGGTTC